TATATATATATATAGCATGTTTCTTCTTAGTTCAGTTAGCAGGTTAGCAGAGTGAGCTTTCAACCCCTTGTATGACTGTGTTGTCTGAACTTGTTAGTGTGAGCCAGTTGAGTGGGTAGAAGGGGGCAGCACAAGACAGGTGACCAAGGGGTGCAAGAAGTGTAAATCGGGTTCTGCTTGTCATGAGTACAGGGCCTGCCTTTACTGGCCTGTTTATGAAATTGCTAGTTACCTGACTGTCTTCCAAACAAGCATGCTGTGAATAAGTGTCAGAAAAAGTGCCAGAATTCCTGATTTATTTTTCCAGGTGAGTAGCTCAGAATATTCTAAAGCATCAGTATAAAAAACATTCTCAAAAAGACACTGGATAACTTACTGTTATTGTTCCTGTTCGAACCACTAGCTGGATGACCTTATAGAAATTAATGAGACGCCTCTGACAGAAGGAACACCAAGATAGAATTGCTAAGAATGGACTTTAAAAAAAATTGTACTTTCTATTTGTTTCCCCCTTCCCTGAGCTAACTTGACCAACCCTCTGCAGATGCCCACTTACCTCAATCTGAGAGCCGCAGCCTTCTATATTTATTAACATCCTGCACTACAGGTCCTCAATTTCCTTGATGCACCCAAGCACTATATTCACATTGACTTAAATGGGGCTGTATTCCAAGACCTGAGACGCTTGGGACACAGCCCCATAGCGTTCTATGGGATGCTCCTGTGAAACCATAGATAGGACTTTAAAGGTTTGCAGCACATGATGTAAACAAACACCGGAAGCTGTGGACGTTTGATTGAGGTAAGTGTTCATTTATTGAAGAGCAGAGGGTTGCTAGGCTAGGTCAGGTAAGGGGGATGGGAAGGAGGATAAGTACGGTTTGTTCCTCTATGCCCTAAAGGTTAAAGATTAGTTCCCAGGAAAGGTTCAGTTTGATAACAGCCCTCTAATTACAGATACATATGAAGAAACAGATATAAACAGTTTTTATGTCTAATTAAATCCACTTAAGCTACCTGACTGTGATTTTATCTTCTAACATATTATTAAAACATAAATCACAGTTGCATACATTTGCAAGTACATGCGGAAGCCACACACCGCTGCCAAGGTGGCTCAGCAAAGTATGGTTCCTCCTGCCTTAAACAGACAGTCATATGAATAGGCAGTTAAGATTACGTCTTTATTGGTTGTAATGTAAAATCCACATCCAATGCTTCTTTGGAGGGTTTGAGCATCCCCTTCTTCAAGGCTCTTGGGAGTGGACGATGATGGAAAAGGTATTAGAGCTGGTGACTGGGATGTCTTGGCCAGTGCATACAGGTCTTAGCGGCGCACTTTGTCTAAAGCTCTCCTCACCCCCTACAATCTGATGCCATTTTTCTGAAGAACCAGTACTCAGACTGGTTCTTCTAGGAGTTGAGTAGCCAGGGACCAACAAATGGGTCCCACATACGGCAACCATTTGTATCCTAGAACTCCTAAGATGTAGTGGCTACATTTGTTTTCTCACTCACCACATCTGTATGTATGGAAGAGAAGTATTGTCAGTTCACAAGATTTGTGGCAAGATTTTTGCACTTATCAGATATAACAAAACACTTTCAAACGTATCTTCAATAGAGCATAAGGGAGCAAATAAGAGAAGCTAATTGTTAGGATTAACATACATTTGTAAACTCCTGAGTGAGTGGATGGAAGTGAATGTCATTTACACAGGACACTTACTTCATCATGTTTTATTCATTCATGCATAAGGAAGTTGTCCTTTAAGTGAATGCCTCTACTTCTAAAAAAAAAAAGGCCACCACCAACCTTACCTGCAAATAGCCCGAGGCCTACTGTGTACCAAGGTAAACTGGGGACTGGTGTTTGCAACAGTATTGCGTGTGTGTCAATATCCGTGCTAAAGATTTTCCCCGTACTAAATGAAATCCTGAACAATGTGCAGTTTGTAAATGTCAGGTTTATAGCACTTAATTATATTAACTGCCATCAATGGAATGTTACTGCAACAAGATTTAACTGGAGATTTTGTCGTATTAAGGAGACAGGGCACATCCAAGCCTCTAAAACATATAATTAACCATCACCATTTCCAGATCACTTATATGTTGGTATGGAAGGGAACTTTGACAAAGGTACTGACAGTAGACCTACTTTACTCTGCAATTCTGTCAACCAAGCAGGACATAGTTCAGAGCTCACTTAGCACATTTATTGGCTATATCTTTAAAGGCTATACAGTATATTAAATTGGATTTTCACCCTAGAAGTATTCAATGAATGCTAAACAGCCATATACCACATGTACCTTGACAAATGTATAGTGCCATGTTTGAACTTTGTCCACACTTTGAAAATGCTAGCTATTATCAGCTCAACCCCCCTCACCCTCTCCTTTGTCCTAAGGACAAGCAACTGGAGATGGTCAGAAACTAAGGGGATGCAACAGAACATAGCCAGGCTATGGACATTCCATAGGAGATGGCCAGAGCCTGCACAAATACTACAGGAGATGGTTAGAAACGGCAAACATTGTAGAGAATTATTGGAGACTGAACACCTGTTCGGGAGTCATACACTTGAAACGGATTGCACGAGACACTTGGGGACGGATTTTTAATGTGTTCACACAGCATGTATCTATCTGGATGGCATTTGCAAACATTACTGCCACTAAATTTAGCTGAGAAGCATTGGAACATCCTGAAAAGCTGCTGCTGGTTATCCCGTGCACCGCTGCCCCCCCTGCGGTGCCTGGGACCAAGAACACCGTGACAGCGGCTCTCTGTACAGAGAAGGAGGAGAGATCAGCATTTCCCACCGATGATCTCGCTTCCTCTCTCTCTAAAGGCGAAAGCAGTGTCTATTACATCACTTCCACCTTTAGCTATCATTTCTCTGGCTGCTATAGCCAGAGAAGAAGCTGGTGAAGCAGATCTCGGCTTCATCAGCTTCTTTGGGGGTCCCCAGGTGACATTAGGGGTCTCAGAGACCCCTGATGGGAGCTTTAATATTACTCCCACTGACCACTAATGCTGGGGTCTATTATTTTTCTCACTGACAGCAATGTTGGAGGTCACTATTAGTGCCACCAGCAACAGGGCCTTTTTCAGCAGTGGCATTTTTCTTTAACTGAGCGGGTAAGGTGAAAACAGATAAAGGACAGTCGCTTTTCGGGAGCATTGAGTTCTGACTGTATTATGATATAACTGCTTAGTTAGATTAACTTCCTGATTTGATCCGATCTTGTCAAGATTCAGTAATGAGTACAAACATCACCAAAATTAGGTCACGTCTAAAGAGAACGCGATCTGCGTCATTCACTCTCACCGACTTAGACTGCAAGCTCGCCGGGGAACGGAAGGCTGTCTTATTGTCAGAACAAGTTACTGTCCTACTACTAGACCCTAACAGACAGCAGAACGGAGATCAGCTAGAAAATATGAATATACATTTCTTGTGCAACAAAATCTAAAAGTTCTCTATCGCTTATACATATTTTTTCAATATAGGAGCAATTTGAGGCTAAAAGTAAAACCAGACAGTGTGCTACTATTGCTAGCCACCAAATACTGCAACTGTGCTTTAGTAGAACCCTAACGTAATATGCCTTAAAGTGACATTAAACCCTCAGATTTTTTAACATAAAACAATACTGTAATGTGCGCCTTACTGTAATCCATGGTTGTTTCCCTTCTCTTTGCTGCTCTTCCTTTTATATCCTCATCTCTTCTCATGCTCTGCAGAACTTCTGTTTTGCAGCAGACTGCCTTGTCTCAGGAATGGATACACAGTGTCTGTGTATCCATTTGTATAGGCTTGTAATCTGAGCCAGCACTACAGGAAGAGGCCCTGAGCTGAAAAGGGAAGTTCTCCCCAAGCATGAGAAGACATGAGGATTTAAAAGGAAGAGCAGCAAAGAGAAGGGAAACTACCATGGATTACAGTAAGGCACACATTACAGTACTGGTTTATGTTAAAAAATCTGAGGGTTTAATGTCACTTTAAAGAACCATTATTGTAATACAATGATCTTGTTTTCTGATACATGTATGAGGTTAATACATATATTGACAATATTCTGTATATCAAAGTATATCTAAAGCCAAACCCTTTTAGTTAAAATTTAAATACAATGAGGAATTGGAAAAAAACATTGTTGGGGGGTTTCTTTTTTTTTGTTGCTATCTGTGTCTCATTAATGTGATATTCCTTTACTTCCTGATCTGTAGTCACCACCAGAACTGAGCGGAATTCTCTGCAAAGTAAGGGAAACCCCTTCTTAGCCAGTTTTGTCAATTGAACAAATGTCTACACTGGAAGATTTACCCTTTATTCCAGTTCGGATGGATTTTTCCTCACTTTCTGTGCCAATGATAATGGTCAGCAGGACAAAAAACTCCAGAGTATATACGCTATATGCCCAAAAGTATTGGGACGCCTGCCTTTATACGCACATGAACTTTAATGGCATCCCAGTCTTAGTCCGTAGCGTTCAATATTGAGTTGGCCCACCCTTTGCAGCTATAACAGCTTCGACTCTTCTGGGAAGGCGTCCACAAGGTTTAAGATTGTGTCTATGGGAATGTTTGACCATTCTTCCAGAAGCGCATTTGTGAGGTCAGGTACTGATGTTGGACGAGAAGGCTTGGCTCGCAGTCTCCGCTCTAATTCATCCCAAAGGTGTTCTATCGGGTTGAGGTCAGGACACTGTGCAGGCCAGTCAAATTCCTCCACCCCAAACTCGCTCATCCATGTCTTTATGGACCTTGCTTTGTGCACTGGTGCGCAGTAATGTTGGAACAGGAAGTTGGGAGCATGAAATTGTCAACAATGTCTTCGTATGCTGATGCCTTAAGAGTTCCTTTCACTGGATCTAAGGGGCCAAGCCCAACTCCTGAAAAACAACCCCACACCATAATCCCCCCTCCACCAAACTTTACACTTGGCGCAATGCAGTCAGGCAAGTACCGTTCTCCTGGCAACCACCAAACCCAGACATGTCCATCGGATTGCTAGAGAAGCGTGATTCGTCACTCCAGAGAGCATGTCTCCACTTCTCTAGAGTCCAGTGGCGGCATGCTTTACACCACTGCATCCGACGCTTTGCATTGCACATGGTGATGTAAGGCTTGGATGCAGCTGCTCGGCCATGGAAAACCATTCCATGAAGCTCTCTATGCACTGCTGTTGTGCCATTCTGAAGGCCATATGAAGTTTGGAGGTCTGTAGCTATTGACTCTGCAGGCAGTTGGTGACTTCTGCGCACTGTCCGCTTCAGCATGTGCTTACCCCGCTCTGTCATTTTACGTGGACTACCACTTCGTGGCTGAGTTGCTGTTGTTCCCAGTTGCTTCTAGACATGTGCACTGCCAAAAAATTTGTTTTGTTTTGTTTCGTTTTAAATTCGGATTTGTGTTATTTCGTTTTTCGGGATTCGGGTGTGAAAGTCAATTCGGATTCGGAATTCGGATTCGGATGAAATTCGGTAGCGGTAGGTCGAACGTTCGTTTCGTTTTCTGTTCTTATTCGTTTCTTATTTGCTTCGTTCGTTCGTTCGTGACATTAGAGGGGAAAAAATATTTTTCTCCTTCTCTAATGTCACTTTGTTCCAACGAACGAAACGAATAAGAACCGAATAAGAACCGAATAAGAAACGAATAAGAAACTAAAACGAAACGAACGTTCGAACTACTGCTACCGCATTTCGGAAATGGAAATTCGGATTCGTTTGCATTCGTTATGTCTGTAATTCGGAATTCGGATACATCCGAATGTCCGAATTTCCGAAAATTCGTCCGAATTTCGATTCGGAACGAAACGAATCGCA